GAGCATTTCGGGGCACCACTTAATAGTAGTCAATTTCATGCTCTGATTAGCTTGTAGTCCCTTTTGACAATCGTATTGAACCACTTAACATCAAAAGAAAGTGCAGGCAATGTTGAGACACTAAGACTGATGTCTACATCGATAGAGTTTGACCAGCGCTGAGAACTAAACAAAACTGAAACAAGTTACTTATCTGTGACAAATTATTATATAATGCATGGAACTTTAAAGAAATGTTGGCATTAGTTTGGTCGTGTTTGTTTCCAATACAATTCTATCTACAATTATTTAACATATAGTAGTCTGTTATCATTAAAAATGTGATACCTGGAAATGTTGACCACTTTGTTAATGACACAATACTGATTTATTTTAACATTAACTATGTTCAAGTATTATAGATATGGTTCCATAGTTTCACATATATAGAAGACAAGTCATTCTCCAAAGATACGGCAAATGTTTCTGCATTCAACATACTATGTACAGATTAATAATAGAAGTGTAACCAATCTCATACATTTTTTTCTTTAATCCTTAGTGCCTATTAAATCTTACCAATGAAGTTGGAATGTAGTCTTTAGTATAAGTGATTTGACATCATGTGCATTTATATTAATTTACCGGCAATTTTGCTTGGTGTTTGCTGAGCAATTCCATAATGTTAGTAGAACTGCAAATAATTTAATTGGTGATAGTTTAAAGATTTCAGATGTCAATTTGAATTAATAGAAGTTAGATGAAGATTTTGTAGTCACTTTGAGATCTAAAAAGAAAAACTGTGTGAACAAGGACTGGATTCATTAGATAAAATCTCTTTTTACTTTATAATATTTTAAGGATAAATCAAACAATTTATTTTAGAATTCTTCTGTAAACTTAAGAAATAATAAGCTTATGAAAATCACTGCTGTTACCTAGATAATCATTCAAAAGAATATGGATTGAAGTGTTTTATAATCGCGAGGAATTCATTAGCTGACCGTATGGTATAGAACCGGAGATCCTCAGACCGTGAAGCAGTGTACAATTCCGCAGTCTAAACTTTCCAGCTTTAGCTCATGTGCACCACTTAATATCATTGGTATCCATTGATTATTTACTTTAAACTTAAAGAGCGTCGATCTGAAACAGGAATATTGATGACCTAACAGCTTTAAATATATCAATCGAGTAAACTATCTTCAAGATTTCTATAAATCACTCAAGTTTAATATATCAGTTGAACCACATTTCTGACAACATAAGCGAATAACTCAACCTACTGCGTGAGTGATGACATCAATTCACGTATAATGAAAGCCAGGGCGGCTTATGCCAATCTGGGCCATTTTTGACGCCTTCTTGATGTTAGTCTGGCTGTAAAAGGTCGGATCTACAACGCGTCGATGATAGTAATTTTGCTCTATACTTGTGAAACCTGGCCTCTCCGAGTTGAGGATGTTAGACGACTCTCTATGTTTGATCATCGTTGTCTCTGAAGGATTGCTGACATCCAGTGGCAACACCATGTTAGTAATACAGAGGAGGTTCAGCATCGTCTGTTCGGGTGCAGAGACGATAATTCAATTGGTGTCACCATCTTGAAACATCGACTTCGGTGGCTTGGACATGTTCAACCAATGTCGTCTCAGAGAATTCCTCGCCGTATTTTATTTGTCGACGCTGGGACTGGTTGGAAAAAGAGGAGAGGCAGTCAGTGTATGACATGGTGTTCTGTTATGAAAGAAAGTAGAACAGGACTGATTTCTGTTGGGGTCCTAGAGATGGTGCAACATAGTGGCCAGATACGTTATCAGATATGGCTCAGAATAGAAGCCAGTGGCGACCTTGCTGTAACTTTCTTTCGCTTTCTGCATAAGTGGCTGTAACTTCCTTAACTGAAAGAATTATTTCCGGTTGTACCTTTCTCTTTCTTCCATTATTATTATTATTTCACTACCATACATTAATTTGTGATTGTTATTGTTCTTTTTTCTTTTTAAACGCACCTTACATTCTTTATCTCTTCCCATTCTCATTGTTATTGTGTGGCTCATATGAATCTGGCACCCCCTTGTACCAATATTTATGTGTTCAAATAAATAAATAAATAAACAAATACTCAACCTACACTTTTCAACATTTGAATAAATGAAACAGTTTTTTTCAAGTAACATTACATAATAATCAGTTTGCCAGATATGAGAAACTAAAACACAATGACATATCAGGTAAGATTAATAATATTTCAATTCATATATTCATATCCTATGGGTCTATATCTTCATTATAGATCTTGTAACAATCTACTCATAAGTAGATTCTAGTAAATATAAATTTTGGTCACATATATTGATTAATGGTATCTATATAAGTAACCTCATTAAGTAAAACAAAACAACATTTCAATATTTGCATTAAATCACAAGAGGATTATTACAGTGTTATATATTATTTTTTATGTTAATTATTAATGTCTATTAAGGTCATTAACGAAACAAACAAAAATGAGGATAAATAAATCTACAGATTTTAGCCCATTAAGTTTAACTAAATATTTTTTTTAGAATTTTCTCTGATATGATGGGGAGGGGACAGAAAAAAACAGGCCAAATTACATTTCTGTACTCATTATGATATTTGGTCAACATTACTTCCATTTATTAATTCAATATAATGATTACTCAGTGTAGTATTTATGTTTAGGATGGTGGTTGAAGATAATAAACAGGAAACCTTAAACCCGAGTTTCGTGCTATTTGGCACTCATCAGTAGGGTGTATCTGTAATCTTGAGGGGATTGATGCTCCCTGACGGATTACGTCTCGTGTCACTCAGTTTCCTGTTGACTAACTTCAACCACCATCTTACCTCAACATGGTGCACGCAATGTCGAGTCATCGAAACTAGTGGCCATATTGTAACTTTTTTGATAACATTCGACCTGCACTAAGAAGGACCGGACACATATGACATTGATCACCACCCAGTGATTAACCAATTGTTTTTTTTGTTTTCCTCAGAAAGAGCGGACTCTTCCAACCCTCGATCGTACCAGGGTATTTAGGGGCTAAACATTTGAAAAGCTGCTGTATATCTTGTCTAGTTAGATTTGAATCATCTGTATAATTTGCTTACTTTCTAAGAATAAATCAAAAAACATCACTATATATGTTAAGCAAAACGTGCGTAGTTGTTTATTATTTAATTCATATTTTTCGTGATAAAGTTAATTGCTGGGCAGTTCTCTTGATTACAGAAATACACACATAACGTTATTCCGAATAACTCGGTTATACAGTAAAGCACAACAATAGATAGAAATATATACTAACTGCGACAAGTTTGCATCTTTTGGTGTGTTCTGTAGCACGTACTCGATCACATATATCTTTGTATTACTGATAGCGTGATGCCGAAGTTAAGTACATGATTTTAGTTAGAAATGATAAGAACGTGGACCTTCGACTGGAATAGATGAGTTCCGTGTATAAGCCATTCTTAGATACCAACTAACTTCATATACAATATAAAAAACCATAGAAGTTGGTAGATTCGATTAAGCAAAAATATTATATCAGTTCATGAAGTGATTGTCAATAGTTCTAACCCATATGGATAGATTCAGAACTATCACCGGACTAATTTGTATAATTGCCAATTACCTGTGGAGATGTAAGGTGAAACGAGTTAAAAATCGTCATAGTAATGCACATACAACCACCTATCTATGAGAAAGCTTTTGACAATGTGGATAGGAGAAACTCATGAAACTTTCTTCGACACTATGGTGTACCTGAGAAAATCGTCAACATCATACGGAGTTCATACCACGGACTACAGTGCAAAGACGTGTATGGAGGACAACTTCGAGACTCATTCCAAGTGAGGACCAGATTCTGACCAGGATGAATACTTGACCTCTTTCTCTTTCTTCTGGAAGTTGAATGGATTATGAAAACCTCCAAATATCACAGGAATCACTGAATACAATGGACAGCTTGCCTAAAACTAGATGATTTGGACTTCACAGATCATCTAGCTCTTCTATCTTATATACACCAACCAATGCAGATGAAGACGACCAGTGTAGCAGAAGCCCTTGCATCAGTAAACCTCGACATACACAAGGGAAATAGCAAGATCTTCAAATATAACACGGAGAATACCAACCCAATCACATTCGACTGAGAAACTCTGGAAGAGATGGAAACATTCACGAATCTGGACATTATCATCGATGAACAAGGAGGATCCGATGAAGACATAAAAGCAAAGACTGGACAAATGAGGGTAGCATTCCCATAGTTAAAGAACATATGGAACTCAAAACAACTATCAACCAATATCAAAGTCACAATCTTTAATACGAACATCAACACAGTTCTACTGTACAGAGTTGAAACTTCGAGAACTACCACAACCATCATCAACAACGTACAAGCATTTATAAACAATTATCTACGTAATATACTCAATGTCCATTGAACAATTACTATTAACAACGGTCTACTGTGAGACAGAACAAACCAGCTTCAATCTGGGCAGGAAATTAGGAAAAGACGATGGAAGTGGATAGGATATACATTGTGGAAATCATCAAACTGCATCACTAGGTGAGCGCTAACTTGGAATCCTGAAGGGAAATGGAAAAGAGGAATGCCAAGAGACACAGTACATCAGGAATCGGAAGTAGACATGTATAGAATGAATATAATGTAGAAACAACTAGAAAATAGAGCACATGATAGAGTTGAGTGAAGAATGCTGTTGAGCGGCGTATACTCCTTCATGAGAGGTAACAGGCATAAGTAAGTAAGTAAATAGTTCCAGCTGAAGTACGTCTTTACAGTATATATAACCATCACCCTCCTTTCCGAATTTTTTTTAGCTCTTTCATTTGCCTTACTAAACTTCTGATGTCAGATTATTGTTAATCGGACTTAATTATATAGACATGTACACTTATATGATGTATTACATAGTTTATGACTGATTGATTGATCCACATTAAATAACGATAATTCAAATGACGAAATGTATGACTTAATTACAATATTATTAATAAACAGTTGGATTTTTATGAGGAATTTAAATATGACCTAAAATCATTTATCATCTCTCTATAATAACTCCCTTCCAAAAAAAGAAAAAAAATAGGAAATCAATTATTGATGACAGAAAATCCATTACCAAATTGTAAACAATAGTGTATCATAAAAATGTCAAGAAATAGAAGAAAACCAATCATCTCTTACATAATCAATGTGTTATATCAATTTCATTTACATATACAGAAAGAGATTCGAATTATCTAAACGATATTCCCAAAATGAATCTCAGTAGTCAAACACAAACAAACAACAGTAGGTAGTATATGATACACCAGTACACATATGTCAATTGAATGGATATACTTATCAGTGATAATAATTATTACGTCATAGTGTTTAGAAAAGAAATTCATCAATAGAAAAAAGAAACAATTTTTTTCTTTCTGAACAACAATGCATCAAATCAATAGACGTGCAGATTTGAAGAGGTCCACTACAAGATGAAATACAAAAAACAAAAATTAAATAAATGAAATGAAAGAAATAATGAAAACAGTTTATTTAATGTAGTGAAATTAATCAAGAATAAAACATTGAATAGATTAATTTAATCCGTCTATCTTGTAGTAGATCATAAATTATATCTCTATTATATTGTAGATTGAAGAAGAGAGATTCCTTACTGAATTGTTTCTTGTCATTACAAGATCTATTCATTAGATGTAAGTACTTCTTCTTTGGAAAACCCCTGATGGATTACTAATTTCAATGAAAAATATTATGAATACATTCTAGTTCTTTATTTATGGTGTTTTTTGATGTGAGTAAGAAATCTCTCTTCCTAAAATTATAATTCAACGAAGATATTACTAGTGATGTACTACGAGATTAACTGACTAAAGAATAATCTAAATAAAACGGTACTTAAATGACAACTGCCAAAAAAAATGATAATACAACAAATGGGCACCAATATATATATACATATACTCATATGGACCACAGAAATCACTGAATGTGAACGGGTTGGGATACTGCATGTGTGTCCAAACAGAAACATGTGGTTTCACAGAGGGTTGCTCCCCGACTCTTTGACATAGAGCCCAAATCTACAAGATGGTGGAGCAATGTTAGGAGTTGCAGTCACATAGTAGACAGTGATCATTTGTTCCCTCAGGATTCTGAAGCCCTTTATGCCCTCTAAAATTACCACAACAGATTCATAGATTATTTTCAGTCAATAATAGTGTCGATCCGTTAATTGTCTAGAATATAATAAACATGACATGTGTTCATTCTTATCATCCTTATTACATAGCTATCGAACTCATTATTACAAACTATAACGATATGTATTGCAATGGCTGCTACGTTCGAAGATATCATTAAAAACCGGCGAACAGAACGCAAGTCAGTAACACAAACACAGGATAAACTAAACTATTCCACTGCGTCCCTGCAATGCAAACTAAAGGAAGAAGACTAGATTCAGCGGAGTGAAAAGTATATTCCGCAATCGGTCGGAAGCACGAACCAACGAGCACACACACATATATATATATATATATATAAATTTACAAAAATAAGACATTTACCAAGTAAGTTTTGGGGATCTATCATCCCCAACGATGACAAAGATATATCTAAGAGAATATAACCAAATAAAATCACTACAATCAAAGGGAATCAATAAAAGAACAAACTAAACTATTAAAAGAATGAAAAGCTAGCAAAATAACTTATCAAATAACTCATTATAGTAATGATATAGAAAACATTCAAATAGTAAGACGTATTATTGGAGTGAACAAAATGTTTATTGCATTTGGCAATTAACTCATCAATGTGAATAATAATAATAATAATAATAACATCCACCTACTCAAATCTATTGAATGTTGGATAATAAAAACAATGATAAAAAGAAACAATGTCACATCCAAATGTCATAGATCCTGTGTACATCATTGTTTATTCCTCTCTTTGTATGTGTGTCACTATGTGTGTGCGTGTGCGCGTGCGCGCATTTTATTACACAGGGCAACAATAATCAGAGTAGTTAGAATAAACTATATTGAATAACTTACTAACTAACTAACGAACGAACTGGCTGGCTGCCAACTAATAATGAAAAATAGTGGGAAATAGTTGAATAAGATATAAGGAAAAAAGAGATATTATAAAACACAAACACAAATATATGTGTATACAACGTGAACAGACAAACAAATACACACTGCAGTTATGCGTAAACATGAATAATCTATGTATCTATTTACGTTGAGAATATTAGGAATAAATTAAGCATGGAAAAAAAATTCATTCGATATAATAATAATAACCATTAGTATTATTATTCGATATTAAAAGATAACTGAATAGGCCAATGATATATATATATATATATATATATATATATATATATATATATATATATATATGTGACTTACCAGTTCTGTATCGATTGATTTCTCCCAACGCAATCTTTCCAATAGTTTATGAGCACATGTTCCACTACTCTTAGTTCGTTCAATAACTTGTTGATACGGTGAAACATTCTGTGTTCCCATTACAATAACACCCTATATACATAAATGTATACAACAGTTCGTGATTTGTATTATAATTATATAATTTTATTAACTGTATTGAGATTAATGGTATGATATTAATAGGGAAAAATATAATTACAACATATTCACAAATATGTACTGTTGTATTGGGGATGCTAGTTCCCCAGAAATTACTTAATAAACTTCTTATTTCTGCAACTTAATAATGGAAATTTAAGATCCTCAATTTCGCGCCAAAAATGCCTATTTTTACTTTCAGTTTGTGCTTCCCACCTGGAAGGACTGTCAACCTCATTGGTTAGATTTCTTTTAATATGCTATTTTCTGACGTTCTTCAAGAATATTTTTGTACTATATATATACATATACATGAGTTGTGTGCTTGTTGTTCATTTTTTTCGGCTTGCTTATGGAATTATATATTTTCTCGACTGAATCTGATCTTCTTCCTCTAGTTAGCAGATCAGACGAGAAGTGCAATAGCTTAGCTTTTCCGTCGGCATGTTGTTGAATTGAGTTACGTTTGCCGGAGATAGCTTAATTCCTTGAACATAGCATGTTGTTAAAGACATAAATTGACGAACTGCGTAAATTTAATATACAAACAGAAACTGTACAGATCATACAACTGAATGTCACTAACATCTATAATTTCAGAACGAGGAGAATAAATAAGGAAACATAGAGTTTCCTTTAGTCATCAGTAAGTATATTTCTGACGTGAATTTACCAAGCACTTAGTTTACATAGTTTTGTATAATTTATTCTTCATTGTGAGTTTTCATTTGATTCATTATCTGGTTTTATATGTTTCACTGTTGTAAATTAATTGTAATTCTTAGTTGGAACCGTTTATATTAAGTTTTCCATCTGGGTTTTTTTTTAGTGATCAATAATTATGTGATGTCCAGCATTTTCAGACATTTTTAAAGCTCATTTAGTATCCTGATTAAGGCTTTGAAAAAAGAGATTTTGCGCGCCTCGATAAGCGTTGGCATGCCATCGAGTTGGGAGATCAGTATTATTGACTCAAAAACAGCAGATTCAAGATAATAGGCAACAGAAATATGAACATTTCTTGTTTAATTTACATTTCATGATACGTTAGTGTAAAGTGTAACTTCACAGGTGAATATTCTATAGTCTCTTATATGCTACGTTTTCGTTATCTTCCCCAAATCAATTAGGTAGAGTGATATGTTTTACAGCTATAACCCAGTACTGTTGATCAACTCCATTCATTAGGATAAAATTGAATGTCAAGTTTATATACACTTTCTCTATTTGCATTCTTTTGTTTACCAATCCTCTTTTGTATATTATATTATGCTACTTACTAATATCCAGTAATCAGTTTCCATTCTAATAACTTTTGAGAGAATACCATTGTTGTCTGTTGTTGAGTAGTATTTCTAGCTCTTTACGTAAACTAGTAACATTAAATTTATGTGTTATTATAAGTGCATCTTTTTAATGCTTGTAGCAATTACCCTTATTGTTGTTATGTTCGTTGAATAGTTGTTTTACTGTGACAGACTAAATTTTTGGTGTTCTTGGTTCTTATTTAGATCTTGTCTGCCGTTGTAATTTCAACATAGCTATTAACTGTCGTTTACTTAACGCATATTGTTAGAAATCACTTTATATATCCATTTTAGGAAGCATCCCTTTTTCAATTGTATAATGACATAGTAAATACCGTAGACATCTTACGAATTGAGGTTTGTAATCCATTCCGTATATTTTCGTAAAAAATGGTATTTGCAGATAATTTTGTGTCTTTGACCACCGACTTTTACGTGTCACTTCATCGTGTGGTTGAAGGCTTTAACAATACTTAACATAGCATATTACAATATAAAGCAACGAAAAGGATCCTATTCTTGACCTAATACATAATTCCTAGATAACAATAAATATTCAGTTAGAAAACGAATACTGCTTTACCTTTTGTGAATCTATCTTCGCATCCATACGAGCGTTGCGTATTAAATTTACAATCCATTTTTCCGCATCATCCACATCCATATTCAACTTTTCAGCAAGTACACTTAATGATAAAAAAGAAGTATGATCTTCAAAATAACTGTAAACCAATACATAACTAACAGGAATATAAAAGAATTCAATTAGCGCTTAGGACCAAAAAATAAAATATTGGCTATTGCTTAGTGATGAATTATTCCGAAAATCTGTCCTACACACAAAATCAATTATAGTTTGAACAACTTATTGTTAACATCTTTAATTATAACAGTGAAAGGTACAAAATTTAGTTCAATAGACACCATCAGATACTCCATGTTGACAAGTACTGACTAGTATGAAACCAAAATTGAGAGGCTCATTGACAAATAATGTATAATGAGGATCCACTTATTCTCATGCTACAGTTTCAAAACACTGTATCAATAGGTCAGTTATTATTACTGAATTCGGAGTTTCAAAAAGGTAGTCATTAATTATTAAAAATTCATTCTACGTAATAAAATTGTCAAATTACAAAGAATAGAAAAGAATTGAAATTTGTCAGAAAATTTCATAAAAATACAATCTTAAATAAAGTCAATTAAGATCTAAACAGCTCAGTAGTAATGTATTTATTATGACTTTAAGTCCGACTAGCTATCACGTGATTTATCCGCCAATCGAAATACAACTTATACAATCTTCACACTGTGCTAAACCAATGACGTTCGACCGGCATGAGTAGCCTAGCGTCCTTATTGGTCCTATGTTCGCCTGGCCCGTTCACTTGAGTCCAGAACACCAATACCAGCTTCTGCAATATGAATCATTTATTTCAAACGTACTGGGTTTACATATCAACCAAACAGACAGCAACGCACCATAAAATAAGAAATAACATTTATACACAATAAAGTCAAAAAGTGGCTGTGAACGTGGGAGATGGTAGTTTATAAACTGAACATAATTTAGGAACAGTAAATCGTATAATAATGATTTATAGGTCAAAATGAAGCTTATGATAAAGTGAATATCAAGATACACAATCGAATTACTGAATAATTATACCATAAGAATATATAGATAATATTAGTCTATTAATAGGTCTCAGAAGTTATACGTAATTTAATCTTCGCTAGAATATAACAGTATTAGACTTAGAAGTTGAATGACACTTCTGTTAGAATCCAACAAGGAGTAATAATTCCTTTAAAATTGTAATTAAACCGTATTGTAAATTATCAGCTAGCAAGAAAACTATATTAATCAGGATTTTCCTCGAAACAATTTTCAACGACCTAACAACAAAACAGATTACACCAAATGTTCAGTTGCACAGACTAATAAGTTATGACGAAGTACTGTTCAATGATTAATTCATGTAAAATAAATGAGAAAAAAATCAGTTAACATACCTTATTCCAACACTATGATGTATTCGACAAAATGATTCAAACATAAGTAAACGAGCATTCTCCATAAATTCATCATAACATCCAGTTAAGAAGAAATCATTTGGTAAAACCTTGAAAGTATTTTTAAAAAATCAGATACATTGTATTGCTTTTTGTAGGAGAAAAAAATAATGTATAGATATTACTAAGAGTAAAAGACAGTTGTTGAACATTACTACTGAAATATAACAGAAAATTTGCGTATATCCAGTTTGAGCTATAATTTATTTCAGATGGGTTTTGTGGATATTACAGTAATTTCAATGGTTAAGACCATGAGTCAGTTGAAGCTAGACCACCATGGAAAACCTGGAAGCACTGGACGGCTGTTTCGTCCTAGTTTAGGACTCCTCGATAGTGCACATCCACGAATTTCGCAGGGAGCGAGGTCGTCCAGTGCTTCCAGGTTTTCCATGGTGGTCTAGCTCCATTGACTAATGATCTTAACCATTGAAATTACTATAATTAATTGATAATATGCGATATCAAACTTTTCAAATTAAATCAGGATAAACAGAGTTTAAGATTATTATTAATTGAAAGCTGTGCATTTTAATAAACTAAGTTACTACTAATACTACTACCAATAAGTACACACATAGAGAGGAATCCAAGAACGTGCTTTTCCATTTAACTACGATGAGTGTAACTGATTTTTACATTAATATTCCAAATAAAACCATGACATCCATATATGTTTTTTAGTTATTTTAATCTAATTGACCATAACTCATTGTATTGAATGAGTGTTTATAGTTTTCAATATCAACACCGCATTTACAAGAACACCTTTAAGCCTTAAAAAGGAAAATAACTCTCTCTTTCTCCTTGAGGATGTTAATTTATAAAACCAGACAATATTTTTTCTAGTTGATAAAAACGAATACGACCCAGTGAAATGTTTTAAAAACAAACATTTTTGGCACCGAAAAGTTATTAATTAACTTCTTTTGAGTAATTGTATTTTATGCTTAGCCTCAAGAGCTCTCTGTTACGGTAGATTCATCTATATGAGAAATATACATACAATTTATCATTAATTGATATACAAACACTGTTCATTAGATTAGACAACCTATTTTTATCAAACATCACTGGTTTGAGAGGTTACATTATAAAGTAAAGTAAACATGCAAATTTAATATCAAACAAAAAACTGAACTACTCTATATAACATTCGTACCGACTACCACTGACTAATTACTCAACACTAAATCCACCAGTTTAAAGTTAAATAGACAACTATAATAATGAAAAAAAGACTTACAGTTTCACAAACTCGAAGTTTTTGTTGAGCTCCATCGAAATCGAATTTCACAAATAAACACTCAAAGAATTCAGTAACTGGATCACGATAAGAATAACTTTCCTGTTGAATAAGATATTTTAAATCTCGTATAAGATTCTTTTTCTTTTTATCAGTACTAGTGATTACGCACACAGTAAGGTAACGCAATAAATGTGGCGCCAACGTCTGAATAGCGTTCAAATGTCTATTTATTAAAAGAAAGTTTTAGTTTTTAAACGAAAAATTGGAATGGCTTTTCGCAATGATTACTGAAAATAAAGTGTAATAAAATGTTAAGATCACTATTGACTAATTCCTGGTAAGTAATTCTAAAAAAACTGGCAAACATTCTATAGTCTATTACATGCCAAAATCAGACCTTATAGGAATCATGTGCACAGCATGTATCTACAGTTTTTCATAACTTTATGTTTGTCATAAGAAGTATTATTAATGATGCTGCATAAATACCCATAATTCCAAAGCACAAAAAATAACATAGCTAAATTCAAACATTTGTACTGCATTCAACCATATATATTACAGATTCCCAGCAGAAATAAAAAACGACCCATTTATCAATTGTACGTTGTTACATTTAATTTTCATCTGAAGAGAAGTGATATTGCCCAAAAGTTTAAATTAAGGCATGTAAAGGGGTACTCAAAACCTGAAACCTTGCACAACACGAGTCTGTAAGTAAAATATGTATATCAAAAGCGGATCTACTTTTAAAGTGAATTTGACGAGACTTAAGAACAAGAGCCATTCCCGTTATGTCATATTCTACTATTATTTACTTTGATTAAAAAAATGGGCTTCTTGCAACTTTACACCTCATTTTTATATTGGAAATAATCATTGTCATTTCATTTTAATTGTGTGAGGGCTATGATACTGCCCGAGTGCCAAGACCGAAGTAGGTGGTTTCCTTAGGGGGACACACCCCGAGTCTTTGACCTAAAAGTCTGACCCACAAGGCAGTGGAGCAATGTCAGGAGATGCGGTCACATGGTAGACGGTGACCAACAATTGGTTCATACGCCATTTGTTTCTGCAGGATACTGGTGCCCATGTGCACCATTGGTTTGGAATCGGGGTTTCCCAACTCCCCTAGGTAGAGTCACCGTCTCCACCAACCCGGTTAAAGCGCCGGACATTCGCTTTTCGTCCTTTCAATTTCGTAAACAACACCCCCGCCACGAGGAGATAGTGACTAGGACTTCCCTGGCAGATGCTATATACGCGTGACCATGTGAGGGCATTCCGAGAGACAGGGCGAACTCGCCCCACTCTCGGCCGTACCAGAGCGTTTGGGGGATTGCTGACATTCAGTGGCAACACCATGTTAGTAATACAGAGGAGGTTCAGCATCGTCTGTTCGGGTGCAGAGACGATAATTCAATTGGTGTCACCATCTTGAAACATCGACTTCGGTGGCTTGGACATGTTCTACCAATGTCGTCTCAGAGAATTCCTCGCCGTATTTTATTTGTCGACGCTGGGACTGGTTGGAAAAAGAGGAGAGGTAGTCAGTGTATGATATGGTGTCGTGATATGAGAGAAAGCTGAACAGGACTGACTTCTGTTGGGGTCCTGGAGATGGTGCAACACAGTGGCCAGATACGTTATCAGATATGGCTCAGAAAAGAAGCCAGTGGCGATCCTGCTGTAACTTTCTTTTACTTTCTTCATAAGAAGTGGTTGCAAATCCTTTAACTGAAAGAATTATTTCTGGTTGCACCTTTCCGTTTCCCCCACTATTATTACTACACTACTATACACTAATCTGTGGTCACTATTGTTCTCTTTCTTTTCTTCTCTCTTATACGTACCTTGCATTCTTCTTCTCTACCCGTTCTCATTGTTAATGTGTGGCGCATATGTATCTGGTGCCCCCTTGTACCAATATTTATGTGTTCAAATAAATAAAATAAAATAGCTATATTGGAAAAGTAAAGACTAAACACAGATCCTAGAAAAAAAAATTTCAAAGTGACTGTTACCTAACATTTTTAAAAAATTTTAATACTTATCTAACGGGTTAAGTATTTGGTCTCTTGAATTATTATATTTCAAAACAATTGAAGTTTCCACAACTATCCACTGCATTAAAAAAAGATACTTGGTGTCCGAAATAATAATAAAAAACTGTTACAATCAATAAGATCTACTAGAAACAATCAACTTGAAAATTACGATGTTGTATATATATCTAAAAATTGAAAATAACTAAAATTCAAGAATTTACGTTGTATTTTGCATAAACCATTCAATTAATTTTTCTTTGCCCTGAGGATGATTGAAAAAAACAAAAAGTGACCAATGTAACATCCATGTACGCTGTTGTAATTGTATTAAATATGTACGAGATGCAGGCTAGTTGTAGAAATGAAACAAGATGAAATATCAAAGTGAATTTAAGCTATATAAAATTACAAACTTTAAATTAGAGCAAAGAAAAATATAAATGTATATATGATAATCCACTTGATCGATTTAACAGTACAATGTAAATTCAACAAACCTTTTCAAAGCAGAAGAATTAAAGGAAAAGACAAAGAGGGGGTCTAGCTAATAAACTCGCCACGGATTATAAAACTGAATTACGAGCCACAAAATAAATTATTGTTAAGTATCAGGAGCATTAATTTATTCAGAAGCAGTAATAAATAAATATTTAGCGAAAATCTATGAATCTGTTATTGTATATTCTTCAATGTTTTTATAAGGATTACATCAAGTAACGTGAATAACTCAAAGTACCAGGGTGTTTGTTAAACAATACACCTACATTAGTCAGCCGATGAGAAAACATCTCAATCGCCATAATGTGTTGAACCCATAAAGTTATCATTATTATTAATACTATTACTATTATTGTCACGTAGTAGTACAAATCAGTGCACTATGGTAATACTTAATAATTATTGTTGTAAGCGTATTACAAAGTAAATCGATCACTAGATATCAGTCACAAACAAATACAATGGACGGTTAATTTTCGGAAACCATTGCGAAATATTATTGAAGAGAAAATTTATCGACAAGCAAAGATGCGACATTAGAGTCGTAATTTAGTGATTTAGCTAAAAGAATGAGCAGGTTAGCAGTCAGGAAGCCCCAAAATAGGACGTAATGCTGGCTGTTGACTTTTAGTTTGAGCTGTAATATTAGGTGCAGTACAATTGGTTGGAAACTTTAGTTGATATAGATTAAAACCAAAAATAGTTCAGATGCATTCATTCTTTATCCTCTCCTAGATTTCGAGTTTCCATATTGTTTCAAGCTTTCATTCTTTTTATTTGAACCTGATATCTCATATTAAACTTTTTGGCTAGAACTGATACTACAGTTAATTCAACATAATTTGATTTATTGTGTTAGCTTCGATTAACTGTATTGATATAATGTGACAACTTGAGCCAATGCACAACCGTAGCAAGTCTTACATCATGACTGACTGTATGATTGAATGGATGATTTTTAACACAGTCTGAAAACTCCAATAACGACAATCCAAGACTACAGTCAGTCATCAAAGATTCGACGACCTAACTACTGTTGATCCCAAAGGACTTGCCATAAATCTTTTATGTCACGAAAAGTAGTACTTGAGCGTTCTCGAGAACGGCAGATGCATAAACTTCCAAAATAAGGCCCCTGTAGATTTCGAGTAGGTTTACGATTTCTTAATTGTAACCATACAAAAGTATGGTGTAAGCTTGTAATCCAATGCATATGAATTTAAACAAGATAATTAGATTACTTAGTTTGATGTCCAAGATTAGGTGATTAATCCCAACTTCATAGTGAAGTAAACTAATTATTTCGTTTTATGACTGTCCGATGAAATACATAAAATTAAATATTTACAAAGATTTTGTTTATTTTCTTATACATTACGAACTAATTAATATTAACTCATTTGGAAATAATTTGATTTCGCAGTCAAATTCTTATAAATCAATTTGAAATAATACTTATGACTAGGTATAAATGGAAATTTTTTACTTTCATAACAGACAAAATGATCTCGTATGAAAGCTGTACAAACATTATCATTATTGCCTTGAACAGTCGTCGCAATCATTGACATATAGGTTCTTGATTGATTACGACTGACTACCTTGGATTTTCAATAAAACTGAGTTGATCTTACGACAGTAAGGAAAACATTTTCAGGCTCCAAATTTACTAGCCTTAACCAAGTAGGACGTTAATTACCTCGACAATGCAAAACTCAAAGATTGTCTTAAGTCTCAATTGACTTACTGAGGTTTAGGTAACCAGGCAGTATCACCAACATTTACGTAACAAATGCGGTTTATTGTGAAACGAACATTTATATAAGACTAGTGAGTGACATGATTTTTTACTAAACATACGAGAGACGCAGCTACCGAGTTTACCAAGCTCTCACCATAACATGATTAGGCCCTAAACATGTGTCCTAACGATGCCTGATGGTGGTATGAACTATTGAGTTGATTTTCGGGGTCATCATGACAGATGCCTACTCTTATACTTAAAGTTGGTGTTAAATAGAAATAAATGGATGTCTGGGGATATTTACAAGAACACGACCGTAGTCACATGTCCACTGAGCGAAGATGCCGAGAGATTCACCTGAGTATTTTCCAACTTGATTTAGACTAACTACGGAGGGATTATAATAACCGGCAACGAGTACTATGTCTGGGCGGTTACCTCGTTGACGGTCAAAGGTTTCCTGTACAAACCGATCTTTTTATTTACCCGAATTCTAGTCGGTAGGAGTGTATATAGAGACGAAATGGCAATGGAATGTCCCTATTTTCTGAATATTTATTGCCTAATCAACTGTCTACCAGAATCTAATCAACGTGAGTTTACATACAGTAAAGTATCGAAAAGTAAAATTTGCAGATAAACGAGGGTCGGATAGAGCCACTCTTCCATATTGACTGAAGTCAAGTGAAAGATCACACGTGATGCAAGTTTTGGAGACGCAGCATGTACCAGTGGCATAAGATTCTAGAATCCTATCAAAAGAAGCCTGTCACCTGCTTTAACACGACTTTGGAACGTTGAAGGCTCTAACATGCAGTCAGGAGACCAGAAATAACTCTATGTAACTGAGTTGACAGTGCTATTGTCGACCTAGGAGCACGACTGCAGAGCTCAAGAAACAACTGCTCGAAGTCAGCCGCATAAACCTTTTTGAGTAGTTTTTGTCGTAGTACACCTGTGAAAACTACTTGGTTGGACTTAACGTAACCAAAGGTTGGAGATGGGTGACGTCGTTCAGAACCACTAGTAATGTAGTACGAAGTCATTTTTGTTTTGTTTTACGTTAGACCTCGAGTTTTAAAATCATCTCATAATTCCTATTCCATGAACTTATTCTTAAATCGTACTGTCTATCTAGTCTTTTCTATTACTGCTGATACTGTTACCAATTCTACTACACTGACACTTGTTCTGACAACTTCGTCACAGAATGCTGGCATAGTATGGCAGCTTGTGTCGATACGCACATGCCATGTTCTAGGTCGCTTTTATTTATTTATTTCTCTTAACACAAGGATGTACCAAATACATATGCGCCACACAGTCAGTCAGTCAGTAACAACGTAGAACTTTGTACGTACGTACATCAGTTCAAGTTGCAACACCACACTAGCACAGAGATGCAGTTGTCGATTCAAATCCCGTAGTGGTAGAGGCGGTAAGAGCATAAGTAGTAATCGGAAAGATTAGGGTTTGAAAATATTATTTAAAGGGTATAATCCAGTGAAATAAAATTGGAAAGAGAAAAAGAGACAAGGATTCAGGGGATTAAAATTTAGGAGAACACAAAGAGTGGATGTACCTGAGCCATTGCAAACGATTTTCAGCTATGTAATTCAGGGTCTCTAAACATCGGTTGCTATCATCTCGCAGTCCCCAACCAGATAGTCTACACCTACCAACATGGCTCAGTCTACTTGTCAGTGACTTCATGGACTTGTGCCATGTTTTGGTCTAGACGCCCCTAGCTTTCTTCCAACCTACTCCTATACCACTGAACATCGCACGTCCAGGCAGTCGGTGGTTGGGCATACGTAACACGTGTCCACACAAATTTCGTTTGGTGTGTGAGGGCTGTGATACTGCCCAGGTGCCCAAATCGAAGCAGATGGTTTTTTTAGAGGGCCACACCCGGAACATTCGACCTGAAGGTCTGATCCACAAGGTAGTGGAGCAACGTCAGATGCAGTCCCATGGTAGCCGGTGACCAACAATTGCTTCATACGCTACTTGTTCCTTCAGGATACTGGAGCCCATGTGCACCATTGGTTTGGAATCAGGGTTTTCCAACTCCCATAGGTGGACTCTCCATGTCCACTAACCCGGTTAAAGCGCCGGACATTCGCTTTTTGTCCTCTCAATTTCGTAAATAACACCCAGATCATGAGGAGGCAGTGAGTAGAACTTCCCTGGCAGAGGCTATATACGCGTGGCAATGTGAGAGCATTTGGAGAGGGGGAAAGGACTCTCCCCACTCTCGGCCGTACCAGGGTTTTTTAGGGACCTAGGTCGCTTATGGCCAATTGACTGATCAGACCCATACATTCAACGTTTTAACACTGGTGATAGAAATCCACGAGGCCAGGTGAAGTATAATGATATTAGGGTTGACATTTAACCCCTTTCTTTTTTCGCGAGGATGCGACTTCGCTACAAATGCTGGATGTCTAAGGTAAACACATTATCGTCACGACATCCTAAAACGGTCGAACCCTGAATTTACTGCTTCCGGTCTTATCATACCCCAACCAACCTGCTTGTTATTGCACGATTAAGAGGAAGAAAATTATCAGCTAACTCAGCTCCATCAAACTACCACAATAAACAAGTCTGATCAACAAACCAAGGTACTGGCTACGATCAGGACTGAATGATGAATCACTGAAACTAATCTGATATGACAATCTAGGGCCCAAAACCCTTACGGACTTAGATGAATATTCTACAAAACTGGTTTCGAGTACTCATCCTTTTGACAAATTCATTTATAACAAACAGTTTAGTATAATAAGACACTATATTATTATCTCATGATGTTGAATTCGCACTGACAGTTGCATGTAGAAAGTGTGGTATCGATACCTTAAAAACATACGATGAGGCAAAGGATAATAAGACCAAGTTACTTGTTCCCTCATAATATACAACGCATTTTATAAGCAGGAAATAACATTCTCGTCTACTGAATTCTCGGGTATTGATCTCCTTCCAGGAGGTCCACTTATTGACTTAGAATACGCAGATGACATAGTCCTGTTTGGTAAAGACGCTGACAAAACGCAGTCTTTTGATAGCACTAAGCAACAATGCCAGAATGTTTGGAATGCGCTTCTCTCCCTCCAAATGCAAGTTGTTGCTTCAGGACTGGCCTGCGTCAACACCTGAACTAAGGATAGGGAGTGAAGTAGTCGAACGCATCGACAACTTCACTTATCTTGGAAGTCTGACCAGCCCATTAGGGCTGGTATCGGACGAAATCTCAGCACAGATTCGAAAAGCTCGCTTGGCTTTTGCCGACTTACGTCACCTTTGGCGAAGGCGAGATATCCGTCTATCAATAAAAGGACGAGTATACTGCGCGGCAGTCCGTTTTGTTTTAATTTACGGCAGCGAAACATGGCCTTTAAGAGTAGAAGACACCCGTAAGCTACTAGTATTTGACCACAGATGCCTTAGAAAAATTGCTGGCGTCTGTTGGGATCACCGGGTAATAGTGAGGTTAAACGCAGAGTATTAGGGAATGATGGTAAATCAGTCGATGAGGTTGTTAATCTTCATCGACTGAGATAGTTGGGCCACGTGTTACGTATACCTGAACACCGATTACCACGTGCAATGCTAACGGGTGTTGCAGATGAATGGAAGAGAATTAGGGGCGGCCAAACCAAAACGTGGCATCAGTGCTTGAAGACACTAACCTCTAGTCTGAGCCATGTTGGTAGATGCAGACTACTTGGTTGGGGTCCACGTGACTTTCGTAACCGATGGTTGGAGACTCTTGGTGACATGGTTCAGAATCGATCACAATGGCGTAGGTGTATACACTCCCTGTCTTCCCTCAAACTAAGAGATTAAAATCACTTCATATCTTTCTTTCTACTAACTAATTCTTTCTTCCTGTATTGTATCCTTATATGCAATCTTTCTCCTATATATTACTACCTTTGACCTAACCACTCCTATGAATCCGGTGTTCATCTTGCTGTGCTAATGCGGTATGGCAACCTGGACCGATGCATATATGTGCCGGGTCCTATGTTGTAGCTGACTGACTGATTTTATAAGCAAAAGTTAGAAAGGGTGTTTTTGAACATAATGCAAAAAAGGCTGACGATACTTACTCTATCTTCATTTTGACAGTCTATAGCATCCTTCAACTTTTCTAAATCTTCCAATGCTTCATCCCAGTTTTGGACTAAAATCTCACTGGCTAGGCGGCCCCAACTGGCATCCAAATGTCTTTGTGTCCCAGGGGTTACAAGCTGGCGGACTATTTTTAAATATTCAGATGATAAGTTGTAATTTCCGGCATCATAAAATACCTATAAATAGAAGGATCAGCAAATCTAAAATTTATTTTGGATATAGTGGGTGAAGGAAAAATTCACCTATTTCTTTTGCACAATAAAGACATTACATCATGTAGAACTATAGTAATCAACTTACGCGTGCAGCATCAAACATATCGTTAAGCATCTCTGTCTTGAAGTTGTATTTAGTTTCCAAACTAGTTAACAGATCTTTGGCGTTTTTACATTGGGCAACTTCTTTCATTGTTTCTTGACTAAATATTACCTTCACTGGTTTTAACTTAACCTCCGTTTCTTGAATACTCTCTAAGACTTTTTCTCTCTTGTCAAGTAATCCTAGCAAATAAGAAGAGTAATCTCGTCAAACCTTTTGGAGGCTCTGTTTCGTATATACTTCTATAAGTATCTGCGGCATAATCAACCATAGAAGTCCCCAAGAGAACTTCCCATTTGGTCGTCAGAATGCTTTTTTCATCATATATCTAGCAATAAAAGATTCTGAATGACTTACATTTTTGACACTTATGTATTCCAGCAGTGGTAAAGTTAAGTGTTTATCTAGAAAACTACTTATCTTCTTTGTTAAGTCGAATTCAGACATTATGCTGACGGTGGCGGCAATGTTGTGTTAGGCGCTCTTCAAATGATTCAAATGGTTGTGGACGTAATAGAAGAAGCTTTCGCTTAACGGGCTTTCGTGTCTAGTAGCAGGGGATCACGATTAACTCCAGGCAGGAACCTAGGTATGCTAACGATAAAAGAGGAAAAACAAAGTGGTAAATCATAGTATGATACTATCTTTAGACCTTAAGTATAGATCAAGTTGCCTCTTAAAGGACTCCTGGGAAGTCGCTTGGACTAGTCCAGTCGGCAACGAATTCCAGTATTTGACAACTCTTAAGGAGTAGAAGTTGTGTCTACAGTCCGTTCCGCTATGTTGTATCTCCAATTTCTGGGTGTTACCCCTTAGGTTGGTATTAGGACTAAGCTTAAGTAGGTGTTTATGAGGATGCCCAGAAGTGTTAAGGATACTATAAGCCATTAGGTCACCTCTAAGACGCCTATACTCTAATGAGTAAAGGTTAAGTGATTGGAGGCGCTCTTCATAAAGCAATATGCATATGACGCTTCCACCTTGATTTTAAGAAACAATTTCGGATCCTCAATAACATATATTGAACTATACAGAAGAACGTAGCTTGGATCGTACCTTCATGACTAAAAACGCCATTATATTGTTCAGAAACAGTTACCAAGAGACTAAAAGCCAATATGGGATTGAAAGGACTTGTCGGTGACCTTCGCCCAATCAGTAAGCATACTCAGGAGTGTCAGTATCTTAGTAAAATATGAACTAGTTACTTCGATCCAGTACGATAGATGAGACGTCTTACAAGTGTTCTAGAAAATCCAAAACATGCCTTCATTTGTTCAGTACACTCATCGCCACGGGTAATATCTCCATGCGAAATTCCCTAGACTTGTTATCGTGTGAAGAGATCAATCTCTATTTATATGTGCGTGAACCCACTCAATAGTAAATAACAATTTGAAAATGTCGAGGTGCCCTAAGTCAAACAGTTTGGAAATAAACTTGGAGAGAAAATAGCGCTTTGGTTGGCTTAAAACTTTTGCAAATGATAGAATGTTTCTGTGTGCTGACAAAGAACTATTAACACATACGTCTAGGAGCATATAGATAATCCGCAATAAGATACCCATGACGTCCGTGTGTCATAGACTGAGAAACTTCCCGAACGTTGTGCACTTCGTGGTCTGTGTGACTACTAAACATAGCCTTCCAGTTCATAAACCTCATACTGGGACTAAAAATGCTATCAGGATGATATTTGGCATGAGTGACGTCTCAGACCTTCGAGATTCTTCCAGATCTTTATCATCATTTCAGGATCTCAGCATCTTGTTCGTTGCAAAAGAAGCCGAAGAGATTCTGGATCGAGTCCCCGCCATATAGATTTCATTTCCTCACACATATTGTCTATACAAATTAAATGAGTAATTAATTCAGGCTGTCGGATATATATGGGACTTGTAATTAGTATCGGTATTAGACTGAAGTGACTTACTTTTATCACGAAAACACGATTGGTTTAATGAAAACAATTATTATTATAACCAATAGTACCAGTGACTGTTTTAACGTGCTCTTTGTTTAACTGTGCTAAAAACATTCAGTACACTTAATTCCATTGTGACCTCGCGCGAATTCGGTTTCGGTCAGTAACCACACTTGTACTCTTTTGGCACGATCTCGGTATCCTTTCGATACCACGAGATCGCCAACAAATATATCTCGACTTGGTCCATTAACTGCCTTCTGATATTTGGCTTCCGTGGAATTTCATGGATATCCTGGCACGCGTTCCTTTGTAGTGGTGTTCATAGTCAATCGTGACTCGACTCCACTCTACAAGTCAGTTTGCTCTTGTTACTATATTAAAATCCTAACATTAGATATTTTAATTGCAGCAGTGTTACTGACTTGTCTAAATCCTCTTATGTCACACCATTTTCTTATCCTGAATCGCACTTTGATGGAATTCGGTGGCATTGATCGCAAGGACCTATCAAAACTCATTCAGACCGATGATAGAATAATACCTCCGGCATAAAGAGGATAGATTCTAGGTGACCGCTCATGAACGGTCAAAACGCACATTTTCCACAAGTTTGTGGAGTTATGTTTAATACTACTGTAACGGTAGGCCTAATTCCAAAATCTTAGGTTTTTCATGATGTGAAAACCTAGTCTCTAAGATTTTACATGGAAGTCACATTATTGTCTATCCTGACTCGTCGTATCTCAAGAATCAGCTAAATAACGTCTGATATTTCTTAAGAACACACCTGACCTGGGTAAAAAGTAATATATTTAATGCAACATTCATAACGTTTTACATAGTGTGACCATTTCTGCATGGTCGAACCATGCCATCTTGAATGAATCTTCCGCGTCCACTTTCATCGACGTCCTCCAAGTGTGGCATATTGGATGTCAATATTTTCAGTGGTTATATCTTCGGCTTCGAGCATCGTGTGGTTAGTTACCATTATCAATACAAGCTCACCAGCGTCTACCTCACTTTTCTTTATTCATCACTAGGCATCCGTTGTTATTCCACCGTTGCTAAATCACTCTCTCACTGGGATCCAGGCCATGCTGATTCGATGCTAAACTAGTTGGTGTCATCTAGTACCGGTGTTCTCCAAGTTCGTTCGGGTATTGACTGGCTGACAGTTAAGTGAAAACGGGGGTGCCAACAACTAATTGTGAAATTCGTGATTATGTTCAATATTTTAAGATTCATTCTCAACACGCTTTACTTGAAAATTTAAGTTCAGAAGCACCGACATCTGAAGAAATAGGAATTATTTTGGCGGGGGATGATTTCGTTTGGATAGGTTTAATCTAAGCGCATTAATATGTATTGTAGTGATTGGTGGTTAACAATTTAACATATGACAAACACAAAAAATTCATGTCTATATTATTAATATTCAGATAGCAAAACAATCCATGACCTATATAGATAGATAGGTAATAGCACCCATTTTGGTTTGAAACAGAGAGTTGGTTTATATTACTGACGTGTTTCCAACGGTCTTTATGAACTTGAAGTCATGTTTGTAGTATTAGCCTTTTATTGCTTGAAGTCACCCCTCACTTTATGTATGAAGAAGCCAGACTGGTAGTTGTAATAGGTTTTATTTTAGACAACTCCACGTCATAAAGATTACTTACATAGTCTTCTAACTTCTGTTTACAAACAGGCACCTTAGGTACTATGCTCTTCTCTGATATTTCAAGCTTTTGCTTCCCATCTAATGACAAATAGAGTCACTATCTGAGTCTGAACCACGACACACAAGAGGCACTTGCTTTGTTAAAGAGGATTCGTCATTTAGTTTGTCTTTATTAACAACAACGAACTTTGAGCATAACATTTTTGACGAGTGTTTGGCATCACGAACGAAGGAACAGAATATCTAGAGGGATGATAATTGAAATCCACGAAACGGAAGCCAAATAACTTCGTTTAATCACCATGTATTTATTTAAAAATGTAAAATGCCCAGTTAAGATCAAAACAAGGTAATTATGTAAATGACTGTTCTACATTTTATTATAAATACAAATAGTAAAACCCAGTTATTCAACCAAAATTATACAATAAGTAAACAAATCAAGTGTGACCAATAAATGCTATTCTATCCTTTCTGGATAGACCACGCATAGATTTGTTCGAAAAATAATATTTGATCACGTTATAACACTGAATGTTCCTAATTCTGGATGAGTGACTTAATACACAATTAAAAATGCACTGTTCCAGTCAATGCAAGTAACACAACCAAAAGAGGAACAAGTCATTTTGGCTGTCGCCAAGACTAAGTATCAACTGATTATTATCAGAATGAGTTTTGCGGAGATTTTTAGGATATCAGCCCACTGAAGACAATGGTGTTCGGTGGCGCAACTTCGTGGATTGGTTGAAGTTAGACATTAGCACCGTTGGATGCCGGCTCAGTGATCTAATGGTTAAGTGCTCGCGCGCGAAGCCAGTAGGTCCTGGGTTCGAATCCCGCGGGGGGCGGGTTCGTGGATGCGCACTGCTGAGGAGTCCCATACTAGAACGAAACGACCGTCCAGTGCTTCCAGGTTTTCCATGGTGGTCTAGCTTCAATTGACTCATGATTTCAACCTGTGTAATTTCCTAAATATCTCCACAAAACTCATTCTGATTGGGGATTTTCAAAAACAAAACCTTCAAAAAGGATCTTTTACTTATATCTTCCTTTCCTTTAATATATGTTAAAGGCCTTGAAGCGTTTAGGGAAGTTTTATTGTCTGGATAGCGAATACGTGAATGCGAGAGCATGGTTCTAAACCAAAATACTCTTTCACATTCAAAATAGAATAATAAGAAACATAACCCCATCACAAAATATTCAAGTAAACGGTTACTTGAACTACAATGATTTAATCTCAATCGGTGGTTCTCGGCTGACCTTCATACACCTAACTGAAGTTACTTTAGGCTTACTGAACGAACAGAAATACAGCCGCAAAAGAAAGGAGTTTTTACTTGTGCCTCTGAGTTTTTTGTTTTGGTATCGTTTACTTAGTCCTACGGATATTACTTCTACCTCAATTCCGTTTAGTAGTGAAATTTTATGGTGCTGCTGACAATATGAACTGCTATCAGAAATAAATCTTCTACTAACGAGAACACCGATGATCTAATGAATTTCGGCATGGAAAACCGATAATAATTAGTCGGACATGAGTATATCTACGAGAGATATGCTTCAGACGCAGTGTTTCGATATCCCACGAACTATCTATTTACAATCGTACCCATAAACTGATTGTTAAGAGATATTAGTGCTCATAAGGCATTTCAATTTTTTTATTCTAGACAACTTAGAAATCAAAATTAAATGACTTGCAGCTCAAGTCTGCGATAGCGGCATATACGTTCGTTAATGCTGAAGTAAATTCGACAGTGGCCCTCAGGTTTTAGAATATCTCAACCGCCTAACTTTGCTGTTTGCACGAATGATTTTGCCTCCAAAGCTCCAAACAGGCCAGCAAATTTTCGGGTGATTTACAAACGTAACAACCAGCAAACTTGAAGGTGGGGAGATAACTTCAA